CCTTCATACTCAGCTTTAATCCTCAGAGTTTCATCTGGTCCTTTATGAGCAGATGTTACCCGAAGTTCACATGGAATGCCAAAGTTTCCACAAGCCTTCTTGATTTTTTCACAGTGACCGAGATCAGAAGTTGAGCCCATCAATACTACAACCCTGCACTGACTTTCTGGCTTCAGAAGCAACTAGAAAAGAAAAACATGGATATGCAAAAGAAGGTAAGGACAAAAATGGAAAAATATAGGAATGAGAACCAAAAGAATAGTGAGTTTACAGAGCTATGGTTTATTGTAAAATTACATTTGGACAGAATATTTTCTTTCTTAATAGACCAAATTTAAGACAAACAGAACAAAATGATACAGAATTTGTTTTTCAAAATAACCTCTCTAAAATAGAGTTCATAATTAAGACCTAAAGAGTATGATTTGTAATCAGATAAAATTGTTTATTATTACAAGAAGCAAGGATAAATACTCAAACCTAATTAATATTCAGATTTTAGTAAATAAGAATTTAGTACATTCTACTTGAGGGAGGTTTCAAGGCACAATCAGCCAAAATACAGAGGTCAGGTTATAAATCGTCAACAGTTCTATGAAATTCAAAATGCATGTTCCAGTGGAAGTGATGTTCTAAAAGGTAGTTAGTACCACTGAATAACTACAAACCCCCTTCAAATTCCATGGAATTATAGTAATCAAAATACCATAAATCTTAGGTCCAGCTGCAAAGGTGGCAAGAAGAAGCCCCTGAAGCAGCCCAAGGAGATGGACAAGGAAGATAAGGCATTCAAGCAGAAGCAAAAAGAGAAGAAACTCGAGGAGTATAAAAGCAAAGGCCACAGGGAAGGGCCCCCTGGCCACAGGTGAAATTAAGAAATCCAGCAAAAAGTGAGCTATTCCTTGTGCCTGGGGCAATGGTGATCCTTAATTCCATTCCTGTTTTAACATCTGGATTCCCTGCCATAACACCTGTTGCTACCTATAGGTAGAATGAAGTGTTGTGTTGAAGCCTGTTGTACATTTAAGAATACACTTTCGTAAAAAAACAAAAACAAAACAAAAAATAACCCATAAATCTTAAAGTAACATTTTAATGTCACATGAAGTTCCAATTCTGAACTCTGCTAACAGAACCCAGACTAATGGAACTCTGAGTAGCAGTGGAGAGGCAGATAGGAAATTTAAGGCTTCTCCTGCAGCCACAAGGAGACAAGATTTCAGGTTTCCCCAACAGGATATGGGAGGAGTGTCAGCAGGGGCTCCAGTACCTCAGTGAGGATAGTTCTGGCTGGCACATTTCTTAAAGGTATTCTTTTCTTTAAAGTCACTGGAAAAAAAAAAAGCACTGCACCTTCCTTTTTGTTTTTCTTTTGGAAGAAAAAATACAAAATGTATGGATTTACTACAAAAGGTTTACCTCTACTCTTTCTGCAACCCACTCAAAATTTTTCTTTACCATCTGGAGCCCTTCAGGAGTTACTTCCTTGAGGTCACGATATGACTAGAAAATAAGATAGAAAGTTTAGAATGCAAGTATTCTATTAGTACTATTCTTGCTATCTGAATTTATTTGGTTTTTAAGGCTTGAGTACGAATTATGAAGAGTTTGCCTAGCAAAGGATATATCTGAAAATGTATCTGAGTTTACAAGTTCATTTCCTGAATTAGACTAAGGAAAGTTCAGATAGTGAATTAAAGTATTTTTAAGGATAAGTGCTTCCTACACTAGCAACTACAATTAACTGCACCAACAGTTCTTATATACATATTAAGTACAGAGAGGGTCTTGCCCTAATTTTGTTATTCAGAAGGAAGAGCAGAAATGGAAACTGATAAGACCCGGAAAATGTGGGACAGAGTTCCAGATCTGCCAGTTCCTCTGGTACCTGAGCAGACATCTATCCTCTCAGAGCCTTAGTTTTCAATTAGCCAAACAAGGATAATACTTGCTCTGTGTGACTGTTAAAATAATAAATGAGAAATCTGCTTTGTAAATGTAAAGTATTATTCCTATCTTTTTTTCCAGAATATAGGAAATATATTTATCTTTAAAAATAAATAACATTCAACAACTCAGGTTTATATCATAAACAAAATAACTGCCTTTTCTTTTCCTCCCATCCGTTTCTTCTCTACCTCAGCCTGATCTTGCAAAGGATTAATAAAACCTAAAGCATCACCTGTTTGTCTTTCTGTTGGCTTCGATCTCCTGACGGCCAGAGTCTCCAGGAATCATTATCAATAACATCAGCAAGAACAATTTCTTTGGTGGTGACATCAACACCAAACTCAATCTAGAAACAACATATTGCCAAAGAAGTTTTTCAAAACTATACTACTAAAGGCACTTCTCAGTTACAATCTTTACTTTCAAATCTCCATTTTATTTGTACCTTCATATCAACCAGTGTACAATCCTGGGGCAACCAGGATTTCTCCAGAATTTCAAAAATAGCCTGTGTAGCATGACTCATGATATCCACTTCAGTTTGGCCTATAACAAGTCCAGCAAAGCAAAATTTTGCAGCAATGATCTGTTCCTCAGACCACTGTGGATCATTATTGGCATCATCCTGAGAATAAAGTATAGAAGTACAATTAATTTAAATATAAGCTTTTTGAAGTTTTCAGATAAACTGAAATCCTTTTTTCCTTGAGCATGAATTACTCAGAAATATTCATTTTCTCTAAAGACTTAATTTTTATTTAAAATACCTTTTAATTCCAGCAATTATTTTTAATTTGTCTACTTTTAATAGCTACTTTAAAATTCAAAATATTTGGGTAACTTATTCTAGATCATGAAGTATTTGAATTTGTTCTATAGAAACTAATTTAAGCACAAGTTTATGATTTTTATTTTTCCTTTTCCTTTATCAGTCAACAGAAATGGTAAAAAGGCCAACACATTTTAGTCCACCTAATCTTCCAGGATGCAATTTTCATAATCTCGTGACCTTATTTTTGATAACCCTTTATAGAAGATTATATGTCTTTGGGGACATTATTTTATAATTCAAGAGACTTCATCTCAAGTAGAGATTAATGAAAAAATAAAATACTTTTATTGTAAGAAGTGTCTCAAATTTACATAAAATTTTTCTTTTACGGGTTCTTGATTTGTGTAATTAAAATCATAATACAAATGCTTTCAACTGTGCAGCTCAAATTAAAAACACAACACTGACATTGCTTCTGAAGTAGAACTATGCTGAACAGCATAAACTAAGATGGAAAGAGAAAGGCAGTTTCAATAGAGAAAACCAATACAAATTCATAACCACTGATTCCTACATCTGTTATTGTATGTTTTTGCTTATGAGACATTAGACTATAAAAAGATCCTTCATAATAGTCTTTATTTCAAAGTCTTCAACATTAAATTAAAAAATTTTTTGAACTGTTAACTTATTTCGTCTTCCTAGTAACTGCTAATTTTAATTTGTTCTTTTTGTTATCTTGGTCAAAAGATAAGTAGATTTACACAGATGTTTTCTTTTAAAAAGTTATCACTGCTAATGGAAGTGAATGTTATTGACATGTTTTTGAGTAACAAATGCAATATCAAAACCTTTAATAATGTTTAATTTTTTTGACTTGGTAATTATAAATTTGTAGTTATGTTATAGTAAGACACAGATGCATAAAATAATTACCTTGAAAAACATCTCCACTTTAGGTGGGTAAAACTTATATCCTTCCTTGACACCAGGATTTCTTTTGAGAAAAGAACCAGTTGCTATTCTTCTACAAACCCATTCAATTGGAATCATTTCACACTTGGGTGCAATGAAAGCTGTCTCCCCCCATTTTCTGGTGAAAGCAGTTTTGATACCTATATATTGGTGAAAAGTAAAAAGTAAAAAAGCTTTATTAAAATTACTTTAAAAGGCAGATCTGAAGTATAATAAAACCCTACCCTTTCAAAAAAAACCCCAAATACTCTATCTCGCTAAATGCATTACCCATAAATGGCACTATCAAAAATAAATTAAGTACTTTAAAAAACGTGGAAGTATGAAAACAAAATTATCAATATGCTTTCTACTGCTTATCAAAATATTCAGGAATATTTCATGTTAATGTCACATGGCAAAGTATATACTAGATCAGAAGATATAGGTCCCAGGGTCTTTACCACTCATTAATACAAAAAATACTTTTTTTTTTAGCTGAGCCATCCCTGCCACCTGTTGGCAGCTCAGCGGCAACTCAGCTTGGGCCGGGCATTGAACCGCTGTTGCTCAGAGCTCAAACTCTTGAGTGAGCTTTTAACCAACTGAGCCACTCGACTGGCCCTACAAAAAATATTTTGAGTACTTCCTCTGCCAGTGGGTACCTAACTTTGCACAAGGCACGTAACATAATTTAGGTGGCACTAATTATTAGATTTGGTTGCAGGATTCTCATATTGTACAGTCTAGTATTATACGGGCCTTGTAAAATATCAATTTACTTATCACAATTAGATATAGCCCTAAATTTTAGATAGTCCTTTTCTCTTAATATTTGAAGCAAATAATCCTTGAAGCACTATCCAGTTATGTAGCAGCAGGAACATAGTGGCCAATATGACCAAAAGCAAAGCAAGTATTTGTCCTTCCTCTACCTTCTCTCTTATGCAAACTGTTATTGGAAAATTAAAGATAAAGAGCTCACTTGTGATATTTAGGATGGGAGCTACTTTATGTGGTGGCCTTGGAAAATAATCTTTCCCAAAATAGTTGCATTATTATGAATCATGATTCATCAATTCCACTTGTATGTATTCTAGGTACTAACACTGTATCCTGAAAATGAGCATTATTATGTTAAACCCATGTAGGTTTTCATGCTTTAATCTACGTTAATGCTACAGTGTTACTTTGTACTGTGATCCAGTAACACTTCTAGGAGAGGCAATAAAATGAAAAGCAGGGACTCAAACACCAATGTTCACAACCGCATACTTCACAATAGCTAAAAGGGCAAACAACACAAGTGTCCATCAACAAAGGAATGGATAGACAAAATGCAGTAAATACATACAATGGTATCCAGTCATAAAAAAGGCATGAAGTTCTGATACATGGTGTAACATAAACTTGAAAAAATTATGCTAAGTAAAAGACAAATATTATATAAATTCCATTTATATGAGGTACCTAAAATAAGCAAATTCATCAGAAAGCAACACAGAGGATACCAGGAGCTAGGGGGAAGGGAGAATGGAGAGTTATTATTTAACAGGTCAGGGTTTCTGTCTGGGACAACGAAAAAGTTCTGGAAATGGATAGTGGTGATAGTTGCACAACATTATGAACATACTGCCACTGAATTGTACACTTAAAAAATGGTTAAAATGGGGCCGGCCGAGTGGCGCGTTGGTTGGTTGGTCTGGCGTCCCAAGCCAGAGAGCCCCGGTTCGGATCTCACATATAAGGGCCAGTGACACTGCCCTCTACAGCTAAGATGCTGAACAACAGCTCAACCTGGAGCTGGGCTGCCATGAGTCGCCAGCAGCCAGCGTGAGCAGCCAACAGCCGCTGTGAGCGGCCATCCAGAAGCTGGCGACTGATCTGCCTCGCCCGGGAAGAGCGCAATGATGCCAACTTGGGCCAGTGAAGCAACGTCCTCCACAACTATACTGAAGAACAAAAGGACAGCAACTTGTCTGTTCCCTTTCCCCCAATTCCCCAGCGCTGTTCCCATCCCCCAATTCCCCAATAAAAATCTTTAAAAAAAAAAGGTTAAAATGGTAAATTTTATGTATGTATATTTTAATTTTACAATTTAATTTTAAAAAGTATCAAGACCTATGTTATGTCAGGCATTGTAAATTCATTTTCTTTCTGTTTAACCCTCTTAACACCTGATAAGGCAGATAGTATGATGATCACCCAACAAAATAGGTAACAATACTGACGCACAGTAGTTATATCGGCTAGTACTAGGTAAAGCAGGGTTTCCGACAACACTGTCTGAACTTTATGGGCTACTCACTTAACCACTATGCTATACTGCCTCTCCTAGCAACGTTAGTACCTCACAGTACAAATACTAGAGCATTAAGGTGAGTTAAAACATCTCCTAGAAACCTGCATGGGTTTAACACAATAATGCTCATTTTGAGGCTGCAATGTTAGTACCTTCAATCCCAATCTAATCCTCTAATCTAGTATGAGTTTTTTCTTATGAAGGATTAGGGATCTTTGATTTCATGTATGTATCCATAATGAAGGTAACCTACATTTATGGAAACCCTGCGCTGTGCTAAATGTTTGTTATCTCATTTAACCAAATATAAAATTTTCAAGGTAGGTATTACTTATATTTTACAGTGAAAGAAGCAGAGGCTCAAAGAAATTAAGTAATTTGACAAACTAAGTCATGCTGCCAGTTGGTAATGGTGCCTGGACTTGAAATGTACTGTTCAGTTCTAAAACCTGTACTGTGTTCTCTGCATTCCCTCTGGGTTTGACCAGTAAAATTCAATTGAAACAAGGAAAATAAATTGTGGTAGGCTGCATGAACAAGAACTCTGGAGAGAATGATTTTACTTGTAAAGAATGGGCTCATGGGTAGGCAGGTGACTGATATCAATACTTAACTTAGGGTGGTTAACTACACCTGGCTTCAAGTTCTTCTTTCTAAGGCTTGTTAATCATTAGTCATACTTACTCATTTGTCTAACAAACTTGACAGATTAGTATTCAAATCTATTGTTTAAGTATAAATAGTTACTTTTACCCAGAGGGAACCCCCCCTTACTTCCCCCACACTACCACTCTACACATACTTAAGGGAAACGAAAGCATAAAAAGAATTTATGGTAATTATCTCATACAGGAAAAAAAAACAACATTGCTTCTAAAAGAGTGATTCAATTTAAATGATATGATTGCTTCTAATGCACATGCTAACCATGAAAGGAAATTTGACTACACATGATGAGAAAAAGAACTCCCTCTATTTGTCTCCGTTGTCTACAAAATTCAAAACTGTTAAGATTACTAAGAAAATGTAAACGTCACTCAATACCCTGAAATAAAATGGCCACATGATAGCTAATCAGCCCACATATCCCTGGGGCCATCCATGTGTTAAAGCTGCCCAGCTCTCTATCTGTGGTTTGGCAACTGCAGGACTGGTATTCATATCACCACTCTCACACCAAAATGTAATTACAGTGAGTTTCTGTAGTGGAGCTGAGGCTTAAAAGGTTAAAATTTGATTTTTAAGTATTGAGACCAAACCCACAAATCTTGTAACTCAGGTAAAGCACATAATATTATTTCCATGGAAAAGCAGTATTACTTATACCTGTTATTTGTACAGTATTTTACAGTTTGCTTATGACTGACAATGAGAAAACTAGAATTCTGATTTACTGATTCTCATTCTGATGCTCTTTCCCAATCTAATTTCTAGAAATATCTTAATTTGGAACATAATCTTAATTGTAGAGGAAGCAATTTTAAATAGACCCCTGGTGATCAACTACACATAGCATTTATTCAACTATTAGCAAGCAAAAATTAGATAAGGCTTAACAGAACTCCTAATCTGTCCCCTAAAACTGGTTTAAGAATTTTTAAAAACCTAGGTTTTCCTTAATTTCACAACACATAAAGCCTGAAAAACACCTTCAACATTTCCTATAAGTCACGTTAAGTTCTAGCTATATTAAATGTGCCTAACAGTAGTTTAAAGAGAATTGTTAGAGTACTTCTTTTAGGGTGGCCAATTTTCGTAGTTAACTCAGACGCAGGACTTTCAAAGTCAAAGCTAGTAAAGTCCTGGACAGAGACAACTTGGATCCCCCTAATTCACTTGTCTTTAAACCCCAGGAAGTGCACTGAATAGTGCCTTATTGAATAAGCAAATAAAACCTTGGGCCTCTACTTATCTTCCATTACTTTAAAATATACATATATACCCACAGTATATAGAAACTAATTTATTAACAATTCATAGTGTTAAGTAACTTTAAAAATTTTTAGGGGAGAAGGAAATAACTTGGGAGGTTAAAAATGGGTCACTTATCTCTACTGCAAAAGGAACCTAAAATTAGTTTGATGCTCTCTCTAGAAATCTACTCAGTCATTGGGAAACTACCAATTAAGGCAGGCTTAAAATAAAAATCTTGGATCATATTACTTAGGAATTGTGGGAGGTCCTTTAAATTTATAGCAATATATGTACTCACTTTTGACGCATAGAGGGATTTATGGTGTGGATGACAGTTTAGGTTGGCAATTAACCACTGTTTTTCACACTAACTTAACAATGTGAAACACGGTACTTTGGAATAGGCTAAACTACTCAAGAACCCATTCTGTACTGACAGACGAATTTAATTTGAATTACTTTGTTATTCTGTGGGAGGTAGGTACATCTACCTTGACTGGAAACGAAAGTATTAAATCCCCTTTTGGATTTAAGAAAAATTAATGCTAGGGGCCGGCCGAGTGGCTCAGTTGGTTAAGAGCTCGCTCAAGAGTTTGAGCTCTGAGCAACAGCGGTTTGAGTCCTGGCCTGAGCTGAGCAGCAGCTGAGCTGCCAACAGGTGGCAGGATGGCTCAGCTTAAAAAAAAAAGAAAGAAAAAAAGAAAGATTAATGCTTACTGGAAACTCTAAGAAATGAAAGGGCAACTGGGAATAGTGGAAGAAAAAGGAAACAAAGTTATTAAATTACAAAATTAAAATGGAGATGATAAAGAACAAAGCTTTTATAAATAAGGAACCAGAAGCTTCAAAGGTTGAGTGATCCAAGGTAATGGCGCCAGAGGGAAAGAGCTCAAATCTTTTATTAGCTGAGATTTCATACACTACAGACCAATCAGCTGCTGAATGAATCCCTGCAGAAAACCCATTATCCTAATTCCCCTGCCTTTGCTCCAAATGCCCTCCACACAATGTTCTGATCTTAGTTTCATCTTTCTAATGGATTTCTCTAATGGATTTCAGAGTTGGAGATAACCCTGAAGATCTCTGCCAGATCTCTCACTTGGGGAATGGCAGGATGAGGTGTGGTTAGTCTTCAATTACTGGGTTGTCAGAAAAGTCATGACGCATTTTTGCAACGAAAAACATTGAAAAAATACGTCATGACTTTTCCGACAACCCAATACTTTTCAGAGATTTCAAGTTTAAGAGAAATGTGAAATTCTGTATTATCTCCAAGGGGTGGAGCAAAGAATAATTGTGTAGAATAATAGGGACTAAATTTCAATTAATCAGAGCTACCCAACACCAGAAAGGGCTTCCTTCATAGGGAAGTTCCTTAAGCTCCTTCATGGTAGGTCCCTCCCTGGAAGATGTTCTAGGAGAGAGAATTTGCAAGGAAGATATACGTGCCAGACAAAAACTGAAGCAAACTGTTAAGATTCCTTTTAACTAACTACTTACTAATTTCAAATCAAGCAAAGCGTTATAGTGAAATTTAAGAGTTCCTGGTTTGATTTAAATAAACTTACGTGTGAGACATCTCCAAGCAAAATGTTGTTAATCCAAATAATGTCATCTCTCCATGAAAGAGATCCGAGTGTGGTGTGTGTGTACGCATGAAAGGGAAGAGATTGTGGGGGGAGCCACTTACCTGCTTACTGTAATAACTAAAAACTATTAACTGGTAGTCAACAAGTTAATCCAAATGTGTCATTTCACCATGAAAAGGACTAATATGTGTGTGTGAGAGAGAACTTGAAGGCGGAGGCTACTGGGAGAACCACTTACCTGCTTTCTGTAACAACTGAAAAATACAACTGGTAATTTTATTTGAGATTGCAGCTTTTCCTTCCAGGTGATTCTTTCTGGCTGCATTTCCTGCTGTAATCTGGTCCTTGGACTGCAGGAGAACTTTTCCTGGACTATCTAACAATTCATAGACTTCTTTTGTTTTACCCTCATAGAGCTTATTACCAATGTTCAGTACTGTGGAAATAAAATAAGAAACATCAGATTTCAGGACATTTTTTGAATATTAAAGACTAAACACCTAGAATAATGATCAGTGAACATACAGAGTAGATAAGTAATAATTTTAATAAAAATTAACTCATCTGCATAGCTTATACTCTACAAAGTATTTTCACATGCAATGTCACATTTGATTTATACAATTTTGTGAGGAATTATTATGTAAATATAGAGATTAAAAAACTAAGTATCAAAAAGGTAGAGGTCATGCAGTTAGGAAATGGCACAGCCAGACAAAATCCTAAATCTTTTGATATCAAATTCTGTGCTCTTTCCACTATGAATCTGCTTCTCTCATAGCAGAGCTGAAGTAGAATTAAAGTACACTAAAATTAATGTATAGTATTTTCATATACATATTACAATACAGTAACTACACTGGCTTGCAGGGGAAAAAAATGTTGTATTTTTCCTGACTTCTGCTTTCCGTGGCAGGCAAAATAGGAAAGTTCAGCCAGATGGGTTCCTGATTTCAAGTTAATATACAACAGGAGGCTCCTCAAACCACTACGATGAGTTAGCCCACTCAGAAGCACCCCTATTTCTCAATCCTGCTTCCTAATCCCCCACTGTTAACCCTTTTTCCTGACAGTTGTAGGAAACTGAGAATGTAAGGACAAGAGAATCCAATTTTGATGTATGTCATAATACCTATAAAAAAAGTAGACCCTAGTCATAAGAATGATTTAAATGATCAGAAATAATTGAAGTTTAAGAACTTAAAATTTCCAAGGGGAGAAATCACCCCCTCTTGATTCCAGAACACTGACTCTTTCTCAGTATCAGCATTTTTTAGTGTCCATGTGCTAGGTAGTAGGGATATATCAGTAAAGGAGACAGAGTTCCTGCTATCAAGCAACCTGAGTCTGATGAAAGCTGAAATTAAACAAGGCATCAAAGTATAATATGCGAAATATACAGACTATAGGATCACAGTTCATAGCAGGGCACCTAACCTAGCCTAAATATCAGAGAAGACGAAAACAAAGTGAGAATTAAGCTGAGATCTCATGATCAAAATTTAGGCAGAAGAGGGAAAGGGCTAAGTAGTAGTGGTGTAAAAAGACCATGGTGAAAGAGAACATGGCAGAGCATCAGTATATTTGGAGTACTGTTTGTGTGTGTACACTGCTGTTGGGCAGAGGTGGAGGGAACAGCAAAGGAATAGAAAGGAATGGCAGGAGATACTCGTAAGACTTTAAGAGTTGGGGAGGGGTCAGATTACCAGCTAGTGAAGGTAAATATTAAACAAACCAGTTACAATTCAAGAGTTGCCACTGCAGGCTACCTAATTTAGAGGATGAATCCCCATCTCCCATTACAATGTTCTGACTTACTTCAAAAAAGGCCTTTCAAGACATAGCCCAGCTTAGTGCTCCAAATTCAGATTTCTCTATTCCCTTGCTTTGAACTCCAACTTCCGTAACCGAATTTCTCTAGCCCCCTCCCAGGCTTTGGACATGGAACACTGTTTCCTTTCCTTCCATTTCACTACTCAGTCTCAGGCCTCATAAGCCATGTTGATAGAATTCAGTCTATCCTAAGAACAACCATGTGGCTTTTCAGCACTTGAGTAAAATGACAGATTCCTATATTAGAAAGATCATTATGGCTACTGTGTGGCAAACGAAATGAGGAAAGGGGAAGAAAGAAAACTAGAGACTGAGAGACCAGTTAGGATGCTGTGGCAGCAATCGAGTCAAGAAATGTCCTGGTCTAAAGGAAAAGCACAGGGAAAAAGACTCAAGATATTTTAACAATTGATTCATCATGGGGGATAACAGACAGGGGAAAGTCAAGGATGTTGCCTGGGTTAGATAAAGCAAAACAAAGTTTGTACCTACTGCCCCTCCTTCCCAGTTTAGTGGGATCAATATTTATTACGTAATCATTAAATAAGAGAGGAATTTCAACTAATGGGTAGAAATAACATAATCATAGACATATGCTACAAGTACTGCGATGCCTGCTACAAGTTTGTGGATGAATTCAGAGATTAGTGACAACTGAAGATTCACAGAACTGATACTTAAGAGTCTTGAAAAGTATAAGGTTAAGAACATCTAGGACTGTGCTGTCCAATAAGGTAGTCAGTAGCCACATGTGGTTATGAAATACTTGAAATGTGGCTATTCTAAATTGATATGTAAAGTGTAAAATACATAATGGATTTCAACATGAAAAAAGGGATGCAAAATATTATTATTTATATTGACTACATGTTTAAATACTATTTTGGATATACTGGATTAAATAAAATATATTAAAATCCATTTCACCTGTTTTTATTTTTTAAAACGTGGCAACCAGAAAACAAAGTTACATATGGTTTCACATTGTACTTTTATTAGGCAGTATTGTTCTAGCATAAACAAACACATAGAAGAGTAAACTTGGTGAATTAGTCTGAATGGAATGTAGGCTTAGAAGTCACAAAAGAAAAAAATCAAAGATGGGGTTCAGAGGTAGGAAGGAAGCTGTATGCGGGATGTGAACGATAGGGTCTTCAGACTGGATTTGAATAGCTCTTGGACTGACACTGAACATTTTCAGCAAGAAAACGCTGAAAACCATAAAGGTGACATTTTAGCAAGATTAACTTGCCAAGAATATGCAAGATGAAGTGAAAAAGTAAAGACTTTAGAGTCTACTAGTTTAGAGATACAGTAGGAAAAATTCTGATCTAATGCCTTGATTTTATGAAGTTTTTACTCAATTATCATCTGGATCTTTTTGTTTAGTCTAAAATTTTTAATGTAAATTCAATTTTTTCTATGTGGAAGAGAATGTACTGATAAGTTAATACAAGAATTTTGGTTCACCATAAATTTAGAAATTGGGTTTGTGGGGTAAATAAACCCAACGGTTTACCAGCATAAGTTGCACAGTCTTTACTGAGGATATAATCACTCGTGAACAAAACATTAGTAAATATGATAAATGCAAAGGGAAGCAAGGAAACTTTGCTTGGTCGTTTTGAAGCTCTCCAAAGCCATCATGGCACCAAAAGACTACTTTAAAAACACAAAAAAAATTTGGACAGAAAATAGCGGATTTTTCAGAATGTTCAATTATTAACTTTCTGGAACAACAGGTTACTATTAACCCAACGGAAAAATCAAGACTTTGGGTTGAAGAGTCAATACGAGATGTTCCCGTGGTTTTCAGTACTTATTAACTACAAAATTGATTCCCAGGCACCTCTCTAACCCCTCGCTACTTCTTCTAATTATCCTGCTCCTCTAACTCTGTTCCTTTTCCCCACACCAGAAGCAGTTCTGGGGAGTTTAAGAAAGTTCGGAGAGGCCCAGGTGCGGTTTGTTTCCAACGCACCGTTCCGCGGCACCTGGGCCACATGTCCGCCCGCCTCGCGGCCTAGAGGGGCGGCTTCAGGGAGGCCGGACACTGTCCCGGAAAGGCTGTCATCAGGGCCACGGGGCGCGCACGTGTCTTGGCCGAGCCCGCGAGCTCAAGGCCCAGAGAGGGGCCGGAAGGCCGTGGAAGGCAGGAAGTCCCCGGCAGACTCCTTGGGACGCCCATTACTCACCCTCAGCTGTCGCCATTTTCCTTGGTGGGTTGGGGGTAGTGGCCGCGCTAGGAAGAGAAGCGGGATTCTGGAAAAGAGTATTGGTCAGAGAGGCTCACGGGGCCGGGAGGGAGGCGCGGCGCAGACACACCCCAGGCGGTGTCGCGTGACCCAGCGCGCACGCTCGGGCTCAGGTCGAGCACCGACGACACCCGCGGGACACCGGGGCCTCGGCGGACCGAGAGGAATTTCAACTCCCGGAGTGTGCGCTTTCCCCGCGGATTCCCGCCGCGCAGGCGCAGCAACGCAGACCGTCACCCTCCCCCGCTACCCGCTGGCGCTGTTCCAGGAAAGGCGAAAAGTGGCGCGCACTGACGGCTCCGCCCCTTTTTGCAGAAAATGGGCCCCCTTTCTCGTCTGGGATAGCGGTTCATAGGTTGGAGTGTACCAAGAAGGGACGGCCGGGGGAAAACATGTGGGTAGGGCCATACAAAGTTTACATCCTCTGGGAGAGAAATGGCGTTAATCACGCTAGTCTCATCACTCCAGTCATGGGTGCTGGAAAATAACGGAGATCTACAGGGGTTAGAAAAATTAGCCTCTCATAAGGCTCGAGTGGAGGCCTAGCTCCACTCCCGCAAGCCTGTGACTCCGCCTCTCCTAGGCGCCGCTTCTCCCTCTGCTAACGGTCATTGGTTGGCCCGGAGGTGGGACGGGGTGGGGCGGCGGCGGCGGCGGCGGGGGAGGCGGGCGAGCTAATCACGCTTACTTGGGGAAAGCACGCGCCGCCGCAGTAGCGAGGGTCGTGCCGCTAGGAAGGAAGCGGCTGTCGCTAGCTTCAGAGGCGTACGGGCCGTGCGGGCAGCTGGTTGGTGCTTACACCCCTGCCGTGGCGGCAGGTCCTTCCACGTGTTTTCTGCGGCGACATGGAGCTGGAGGAGTTGGGGATCCGAGAGGAATGTGGCGTGTTCGGGTGCATAAGCTCAGGAGAGTGGCCCACGCAGCTAGATGTGCCTCATGTGATCACTCTGGGACTCGTGGGGCTGCAGCACCGGTGAGCAACCCGGTGAAGGGTGGGGGTGGCGACGCGCGCGCTTCTCCATTTGCCCAAGCTCCCTGTGGCTGAAGTTGGCCATCTCGCGGGCGCCTGAAGGCCGGGAGGCCGGACCTCTCTTAACTGAACCGGTACCTCTGTGGCATCAACCAGGTTGCCACGGCGTGCGCCGGGGTACCTTGCCTCCCTGAACTTTAGCCTATCCTCCCCACCCCCAACCCTTAGTGCTCTTTAGGGTCTCTCCCCTCCCTACGGTTTGTGCACCCCTACTGCTGCCCGGTTTTAATCTCTCAGAGCCTGGAGCTGTTTTTGTGATAGGCTTGTGCCGGATGGCTGCTGATGCAGGACCGACAGGCAACACCTTGAGGTGTTCGCGCGCAGCCTCCAACAACTGCAAGCTTTTGTTTGCAAGGGCAGAGCTGTTGAGCTGATGATTTGAAGCTAGTCATAGTTGTGGGAACTTAGGGACCCTAGAGTTCAAACCCGGGGAAACAGGACTCGCTTGTGTTCCAAAGGAACTACCAGTTGTAGATCTCATATAAATTAACTGAAAATAAACCAATCACAGGGAATGGTGCATCTGCAAAAGATCTCATTGGTAAACGTTTTAGATACTGAATGATAAGGTTAGTAGTAAGAAGATGCCAAAAGTAACTGCCTTCTTTAAAAGAGGGAGAGAGGTGTAGTTCCTGTGTGGCAAAATAACGTTAATTTTGAAAAATTGGTAGGTCCCTTTGAGTTAAAAATAATTTTGCTTTCATGATCTTTGAATTTCTTACTACCTGACCTAACTGGAAGTTGATATAAACAATTTTGTTGGGTTAAGAAATATAAATCTAGGTTTGATGTTATCACTGAAAGTATTACAAAGTTTCCATAAGGCAATACCACAGCAACAAATTCTAGAACAGTTAAGGAACTTGGCAATAACACTTATCTGCAATATGAGTGAAACATGTATAAATGCATTCCAAGTGATTAGCTTTCCCTCACCAAGCTTAAATTAGAAGTGCTAGTCTTATCCCTCTTTTCAGGGTCCCAAATACTTGAGTTTGAGTTTCACGTCTTGTTGTATTCCTTGTTTACTAACAGTAACTTAGAATCTGGGATGAATCAAGAATATTTTTAACTTGAATGACTCTAATCTTGACTGTGAGTTGACTAATAGAGATCTTGTTTTAAAATACATTTATCGAGAATATTATATATATATGTGTGTGTGTATATATATATGTGTGTGTGTGTGTGTGTATATATATATATATATCCCAAGGAAAAAGTAAAACCTATATGGTAGTCCAGAGCAACATTAGTTTATAACATTCTTAGGAGTAATTATTTTGGCTATTCTGTCATGGGGAGAGGGGCGTAGAAACTAGGGATCTATCGAGTTGCTTGGTGATCTGTGGGAAATATATGAACGGACCTTGAATTTTTTCCCCTATTACTTTTTAGCTAAAATAACTGAGAAAGATCATCCATTTATCTCTTCATTAAATATGTGCCTAGAGAAAGGGGCTGATTTTTTTTAAATGAATAGAGCTTGATTTCTAGTTACATACATTTTTCTATGTGAAAGAATTATGAGATAATAAAAGATACAGGCAATAAAAATGTGCTTATATGATTATATGATAAGATTTTCCTTATATAGGCATAGAACCATTAAGGTGCCGTTAGAGGGCTGGTTCTCACCCATAAATCTATCCAATTCAAAATTTTAAATTAGGGCCGGCTGAATGGCACGTTGGTTGGGAGTTGGCTTGGGACGCCAGAGGGCCCCGGTTCGGATCCCACATATGAGGGCCAGTGACACTGCCCTCTACGGCTAAGATGCTGAACAACAGCTCAGCCTGGAGCTGGGCTGCCGTGAGTCGCTGGCGACGTTGTAGGCTGCAGCCCCTGCTGCAGTGGGTTGCCATGGGCTACCATGTGTAGCCAGCAGCCAGTGTGAGTGGCCAGCAGCCACTGTGAGCGGCCATCCAGAAGCCGGCAACTGATCCTCGCCCAGGAAGAGTGCAATGATGGTGCCAACTTAGGCCAGTGGAGCAACGTCCTCCACAACTAGACTGAGGAACAAAAAGACAGCAACTCGTCTGTTCCTCCCCCAATTCCCCAATTAAAAAAAAAAAATCTTAAAAAAATTTTTTTTTTAAATTAGCAAAGACCTCACCCTTCAGAGGAACTGACTCAGATTGGAAGAACAATGAAACTCCCTTAGGTCTGGAAGATAAAACCTTGTTAATCTAAACTGGTTGATAGGGGTCAAAGATGAAGAACTAATGTTTTTATATGGCATTGAATCAAGGAATGTCAAAACTGGAAGCCAAGATGGGTTGTCATAACTTAACATATACGATAGCCGTATAACATTTTACATATATATATATATATATATATATATATATATATATATATATATATATATATATATATATATTACACTGACAAATGGTGCAGAAGGCCCTACCTCCTTAACCCCCCACCCTTACCCCCATTGGTTTATGATATTCTTAGGAGTAGTTGTTTTGGATATTCTGTCAGTAAGAATTGATTTTTTTTCCCCCTTATCGATGAAGGAATTTCTCTCTTATACATTATCTTCCTAAAACATGGACCCTGGAAGGTGATATTTCTATCGCTTTTGCATTGTATTTGGTTCTGTTTTTATCTTAAGCATAATCTGACCTAAAAAAATTTAGTCTCAGGGATAACAGAATATATAAAAACAAATGGATTATCAATTAATTGCTAGACAATCTTGTACTGGATACTTACCGTATTTTGCCATGTATAATGCACATTTTTTTTTTTGGTTTAAATTTGTGAGGGGAAAAATAAGGATGTGCATTATACATGGGTAGTACTAATGCCGTATCTATATAAATGTTTTAACTTTTATTTATGCTTATGAGTTAAAAGTGCAACTCTAGAAATCAGTCATGATATCCGTATGCAGTGTAATACCCTGGAATACGATAATTGGTTCTGTTGAACTTACAAAGAACTTGCAAAGACCGAAGAGTTCTTGGCCTTCTATGATATGTAAATATCATAAATTTGTTACTGGTACATAAAATTTCTTGTACCTTGTATCTGTTCTTGTGTTTTCTAATTATTTATTACAAAAAATTTCTTGTACCATAATATGTTAAAAAATGCTAAAATTCCTTTATAATACAAAAAACAAGAACCTAAATGTAAACAAATGAAAATTTGAATTAAAATTAAAGATTTTTTTTTTCCCCCTGAAAGCTTGAAAAACATGTGTGCATTATACATGGCAAAATATTGTAAATCCAGATGGGGTCATCCAGAAGTACTTCTTTATAGTAGTTGTTCTCGTTATTTGCAGATTTATTCCATAGCTCTGCTTTTGTCAGGGCAGTGTTAGTTTAATGTTGAAAATTAAATTGTCCTCCTTAGTTGTATAAGATGTGTGTGTGTGCACTTATCAGATTTCATACAATCACCAAATGCTTTTTTGGTCCAGAACACATCAGTTCAGAGTTCTGGACAAACCACATACCCTCTCATAGATCAAAAATTTTAACCTTTAAACCAGGCACATTTTACGGAAACTAGAATGACTGGACATATTTGAAGATTCCATAAAAGGAATTACTAAAACTTCATAGATTTATTTTATCAATCAACTACTTAGCCTTTCCTTAGTTAGGAGATGAAGATGCCCTTCAATGAATTATTGCTTCTCTGGGTTAGGAATTGAACCCTACAATTGATAAACATTTTCATACCTCTTTTAAAAATTTATGAGATTTACCTGATGAAGTTGGATCACGGAGGGGTTCTCCTGTCTACAGAAACATTCTGTAGAATCTTTTGGTTCTGTTATGCTTTGAGGAAACCGATTGGCAGTGATCTCCGGAGCAGTTTTCTTAAGAGATATAGACTCTGGTTCTGTAAAAGGAGTATATAACATTACCACTAGAAAAGCACTTGTGAGAAAGCATGATGCACTCAGATAAACTTCTGTGGAATTAGTGCTGGTTATTTTTATTTAGTTTGTTGGAGAACACAGGAGTAGGTTGTGAGAGAATTTGCTTTGAGTTGCCAAATTAAGGTTGGGGATAACTTTATTTTGATTTTCATCTCTTAGTCATGACCAAATATATCACGTTTGTATAGTGTTTTACATCCCCTTGGTTGGGAAAAGGACTTAGTTTAAAATTGTCCTTGCTAATTGTTCCAGTCTTTGATTTTGAAAGACTTTTAATTCAATTACTTTCATAATTTAACGATTCTCAGTTTTAAAATCGTATGTGTTTATGATTCTTCCAGTTATAACTATTATTTAGGACTCTGCATTTTGTATTCGTCTGTAGCAGAATTTATGTATCCTCAAGTCTCAAAGTACTACGGCTTTGTCATTCTGGTCAATATTGGGAACAGCTCCTTAACATAAGACGAAATCTAGCCCCACGTTTCCTCGTAACATCAGTTTGATCTTGGGCAAGTCTAACTTGTGAGTCTGTTGTGTCATCTGTTGGGCTAAACTTGTATATTTAAAGGGCCACTACTCAAATTCAGTGGGTTGGGAATGATCCTGTTGTGTAGTTAACCCTTAGCAGTTTCCCTTTTCAATAGCATATCCACTAGAGGGCATTAAGATAAGGCAAAGGTGTGGCAACTCATCTGACTTGCAATTTTTGTCCAAAAATGGAGACTAAAATTTTCAGCTCACTTGAGATACAAGGGTTGTCAGGCAGCAGGATGAGTGGGGAGGGGTAGATTCCTGCTGTTCTCTAATTTTTTATTCAAAAAATGTTTGTTGTGCTCCTACTGTGTACATATTCAAGGCACTGTGGTAGACACTAGCAACACAGTACCACACAGGACAGATGTGGTCTCTGCCCTTCACAGAGAGGCAATGTAGCCATCTGGTTGGAGAGCATAGAATTCTCTATGCCTCCATTTCCTCCTCTCTAAATTGGGGATAATGATAGCACTTACCTCATAGAGTTGGGGTAGGGATTAAATGCATGAATATTTGTAGAGTGCTTAGAACAGTTCCTGGGTATATGCATACCCATGACCTTGCATCCCACTCCTGGGTAAATACTCAACAGAAATACATACATATGTTTATTGGGAGACACGCAGAACTTTTATAGCAGCATTATCGTAATAGCCCCAATCTGGAAACACTGGAAATATCAAACAGTGAAATGGATAAAGAAGGTAGTGGGATGTATATTCCTATAATGGAATATTCTACAGTAATAAAAGAGAACAAACTCCTGCTACACGTATTATAAAAAGTAAATAAAATCATGGATGAATCTCACAAGCAATGTTGAGTAATGTGTGGTGATGGAAGTCAGAAGAGTGATAACCTTTATGGAGACTAGGAGGATGATTTATGACTGGGAGGCCTCTAGGGTGCTAGTGTAATATTTTATGTCTTGATTTGAACGGTGGTTGCATGGCTGTGTTCACTGTAAAAATTGAGCTCCTCAACTATTTGTGTTTACTGAAAACAAGTTGATAAATTAAAAATCTATAAAATGCTGAAGTTGGATTATCCTAGAGATGTAATCATTTACTCTGTGTTGGATTACTAGGGTCAGAGAGAATTCAGGTTTTCTGATTCTCAGTCTGGTGCTTTTACTTCTATTCTGCATTTTTCTCCCATATGCAATACTATATTCTATCTATTATCTTCCCTGACATCTTTAATGGGTCAGTTTAGACTTACAGCTCACATAATTAGGTTGGCTTCTGAGTTTTGCTTATTTGTAGAATTGCTAAAATGTTATACCCATTACTAACTACCTTTAGAAAACACCAAAATTCAGAATTTATTAGTTTGTAGGTTTTTTTTTCTTTTTTCCATTTACATCTCAGTCTTCTGACAGCAATCACTGTAAAGTGTACTTTAAAGCCTCATGATAAATATGTAGTTGTGCAGAAATTTCTAACTATGGACAAGTTTCCGTTTACTCTATTACTTCCACTGTTAATGAGCTATGAAAGAAATCATTACTCAGTATTTTTTGCTCTCACACAGCTCATGAACAATGTATTTAGTCTATTTGTCAAGGACAAGAGTAAACATCTCTTATCAAGAAAAATCTACAGAAGCTTTCCTCAATGTGGAAAAACTTGGCATTTCTCAGGGTCTTACCATCTTCGTGTGCTTTTCTCTTGATGCTGAAAGTTCTTGGGTTTTTGGCATGACCTTCAAATAATTCTTAAAACAAACAAAAGAACATAGGAAGAGAAGAATAATGTGAAATCATTTAAAATATATAGATCTTTAAGCATTCAAGTACACTAAAGTAAGAATATTTAAACAATTGAACAGGTAAAGAAGAATGAGTTTAAGAATTAGGACTATTTTGGTACAAGATTTGGAAAGAAGTGGAAACTTGACAACTTAGGGTTGTATTTCATAATAATTTTTGGGTCATTTGAACATAACCATAGTGTTAGGATTTTATTTTTGAAGAGTTTATTGCTAAGTTAAAATGCAAAGAGCAAAGTTTATAGCATTTTTATTGTACAAGGTCAATTCCAAGGTTACCATGTTTGCATTTGGCAGTTCTGAGAGTGGGTTGTATTAGAATGTGGTCAACTTCTTCATAAAATCTCATTTTTCTTTGAGGATTGCCATTTTTCTTTTGTAAAACTCTATTCATATTTTAAGTTTTTGTATTTGGTACAACATTGTTTCCAATCTCTGTCTATTCCAATCTGCATTAGTCTTCTGGCAGGTTCCTCAAATATTTCTTTGTCTTGTGGCCCCTTCAAACATTTGCTTACTTTTTTCATCAGACCATATGTGTACAAGTGCTCTGACCTCATTGTCACACCAGTGTTTTCCAGTCCCTGTGTCGCTTACTGTTAAAATCTGTAAATGACTTTTAGTGTCTTCTAAAGATGTATGATTACCTATAAACCAACATGATTTACAATTACTCAAACCTATAGATAAATCATGTATTTGAATATTATTTATTTAAAACAACCTGGATTGCCGTAAAGCACTGAGAATTATAATAATTTCAGTATGTGGGTCAAAATGTTTTTCATGTGTTCATATTCAAATAAAATATAACGTAGCTGCTTTTCGTCAATGGGTAATTTTTTTTTTCTCTTAAGATTTTATTGGGGAATTGGGGAAGGGAACAGCATTGGGCAATTGGGAAAGGGGAACAGACAAGTTGCTGTCCTTTTGTTCTTCAGTCTAATTGTGGAAGACGTCGCTTCACTGGCCCATGTTGGTATTATCATTGCGTTCTTCCCGGGTCAGGTAGTTGCTTGCTGGCAGCTCACGACGGCTCACGGCGGCTCAGGGCAGCTCACGGCAGCTCTCGGGGCTGCCGGCCAGCCCCACTGCAGCCTATGCTGTAACCGGCGACTCATGGCGGCCCAGCTGTAGGTCGAGCTGTTGTTCACCATCTTAGCTGTAGAGGGCGCAGCATCACTGGCTCTCATGTGGGATCCGAACTGGGGCCCTGCTGCTCAGAACTGGCATCCCAAGCCAACTTCTAACCAATGCACCACTCGCTGGCCCCGTCAATGGGTAATCTTCATTAGATATTTATGAATATGGGGAGTCTCAGTGTTTACTAATTTCTTTTAGTAAGAAATTCCAGGAATAGACATTTTCTTTCCATGGTAATATTCTCTACCAGCTCAGGTATAATGAGGCAATTACACAATAGAGAACTTCTCTATAAGTACTTAAACTGGTATATATTAGACTTTAAATGTCAAACTAACATTTAAAATTGAACAATTTAGAGCCTGTACCTAACCCAATACTTTGTGGTGCTTTGGGGCGCCCACCTCTTCAAAGCAATACTTATAGTATCTTTCTCTGTCAGAAAACAAAGAGAATAGCAATTTAAATTTGTTGTTTACCAAACTCTAATCTTTTGCAATTGAAGATTGGGCTGAAAAACTAGTAAGGCTGGGTTCCCTATTCAAAACTGTAGCCTCGAAGCCAAGAACATTTGCCATCTATAACCTAATTTTAAAATGGCTGTGTAGGATTAACCATCTTCAAAATCTTGCAAATGTTCTGCCGTAAAAGTCACAAGGCAGTACACTGAATGCTCTATTTGGGATTATAATAGTACTTTTAGACCCAATTGGTAACATCTTTCATTTACTTTAATGACAAAGAGTTCTTACACCTTTTTTTTTTCTCATTTGATCCTCATTGTAACTAAGAATGATCCTTACTGCGATACATATAAAGGAATAAAAGAGAGTAAGAATAAGTGATTTTAGCAATTTTCACATTGAGATGTTAACAGCAGTCAGGTGATAAATATTTTAAGAAACTAATGGTGCTTAGCCCGGCAAATATAACATGGCTTTATTGTAGTGTACCAGTGCATGTAGAGGATGTTTACAAATCAGCTGTTTGTAATTTGGGGAAAGCACCCCCTCAGATGTATGTGTTGGATTGCTGTGTTATAGCAATGCTATGATAATATTCTTTCATTCTCCTATGTACTGGGACATTATTATTTTTTTTTAATTCTATGTGCAGGTGTCTGTGTAGTTGCTTGTAGTGATTATTGTAAAACTAGACAATGGTTTGTATTAATAGATCAGTGAGGCAAAAGGTGGCTGGGGGGCCATAAGCATATACAACAGAAGGTATGGGGAGATTTACATCACGATAGGACCACATCTTGTTCAGGACATGTTTGTACTGTAAGACTGGCTGGAAGTTTAGCTTCTAGCAGTATTCAGACCTCACATGACAAGCTGTACTCTGGAACCACATAGGGATACCTAATAAGCTACTTTTTTTTTAATTGAAATTTTTATCAAGATAACTGTAGACTCACATGCAGTTGTAAGAAATAACAGAGATCCTTTCTACACTTTGGCCAGTTTTCTCCAATTGATAACATTTTGTAAAACCATAAGGTTCTATTACAAGGAGTTCGACATTGCTACAATCCATTACTCTGATTCTGATTTCCCTGGTTTTACTTACAATCATTTGAGAATGTATGTGCACGAGCATGCTTGCACATGTGTATGTGTATATTCAGTTCTATAATTTTATCACCTATGTAGGTTCATGTCTCCACCATCAAGGTCAAGATACTCAACAGTTTCAGCAATCCCTCTGGTTGCCCCTATTTTTTTTTTCTTTGTTTTTGCTGGTGGGGGGAGGCACAGCCCACCATCCCATGTGGGAATCAAACTGGCAACCTTGTTGTTAAGAGCACACGCTCTAACCAACTGATCCATCTGGCTTCCCTGGTTGCCTTTTTATAACTATACCTACCACCTCCTTCCATGCTCAAACACTTCCCCATCCTTGCCCCAGTGCCTACTTTTTGGAGAGCACAAGTTCAAGGTAAACTTTGAGTTCAAACCTTATTTCAACTGAATATGAATTTATAACATTTTATTTATTTTTATTTATTGATTTTTTAAAAAGATTTTTATTGGGGAATTGGGGGACGGGAACAGCACTGGGGAATTGCGGAAGGGGAACAGACAAGTTGCTGTCGTTTTGTTCTTCAGTCTAGTTGTGGAGGACGTTGCTTCACTGGCCCAAGTTAGCACCATCATTGCGCTCTTCCCGGGCGAGGCAGATCAGTTGCAGGCTTCTGAACGGCCGCTCACTGCGGCTGCTGGCCACTCACTCTGGCTGCTGGCTACACACAGTAGCCCATGGCAACCCACTGCCACAGTGGCTGCAGCCTACGCCGTTGCCGGCGACTCACGGCAGCCCAGCTCAGGTCAAGCTGTTGTTCAGCATCTTAGCTGTAGAGGGCAGTGTCTCTGGCCCTCATGTGTAGGATCCGAACTGGGGCCCTCTGGTGTCCCAAGCCAGCTCTTAACCAACGCGCCACTCAGCCGGCCCTACAACATTTTAATTAAGTGACTAAAACCATCAGTTCTATGCTTAGGCGCATGTCCTACTTTTGGGAAATAGAAACATTTATAGAGTTAGGTATTATGTAGAATTTTGTGTCATAGAAAATAAGATGTCATTGTTGGGGGGGGGTGGATCCCTAAATTGAGCATCCTTTCAGGAAAGATAATTTATTTTCTCTTGTGTATTGCAGTTCAATTCTGACACTACCCAGAGTTAGCATCAGACTTCGGAGCTTTAAGGGCTCAGTCTTCCACAAGATGCCCTTACTTCAGATGCCAGCCACACTTCCAGCTGACTGGCCACAAATTCAGGGGGCCTGTGATCCCCTTCAGCTCCATAATTTGGTAGAAGGACTCACAATACTATACTTAGGATTACAGTTTTATTATTAAAGAAAGAACTCGGCAACAGCCAAATGAAGACACACAGTGTCCTGAATGCAGAGCTTCTGTGCCCTCTGCCCCATGGAGCATACGGCCCTCCTAGCACATCACTTCACCAACCAAGAAGCTCCTCTGAGCCAGAGCTTTTTTGACGTGATTGATTATGACATGATAAATTAAGTCATTAGCCATGTGGTTGAACTCAGTCTCCAAACTCAGGGGAGGTGAGGCTGGCCCTGAAGTCTAGCCCTCTAATCACACACAAGGTTGACCTTCCTGGTGAGCAGCCCTATCCTGAAGCTACCTACAAATCACCTTAGTAGAATAAAAACACACTTCTATCACTAGAAATTCCAAAGATTTATGAAGCTCTGTGCCAGGAACTGGGGACAAAGACCAGATATATTTTTTATTATATCACAGCTCCTTAAAAGTTTATTAAAATTTAAACAGAATTAGAGAAATCATACCTTTAAATTTAAAGCATTGCCTATATTTAAATTTATCAGTTCACTTATGTCTAAGCTTTTTTTTTTTTTACACTGATAATTTTTGGGTTTTCTGAATTTTTAACAAGTCTTATCTGGATATTCTATTGGATTAATAATTTTACAGGTTCTTAATATTGTGTTTCATATGACTAAAGTGCATTAGTTTATATAATAATTTTAATGCTAAGATTATCCAAATTATACAGAAAAAGGTCTAATAGTCCATTTGAAAGGAAATTATTTCCAAATTTTGGTATATTGCAAGAAATAAATGAATTAGAGAAAACAAAATGCTTGGCACACCTACTTATACTAACAATAGATACTGTAATGCCCTCTGCTGGTCATCACATTGCTAAATTTTGTTAAATTGCTGGGATAGTGAAAATTTTAATTTTGGAAATAAGTTTTACTACAGTCAAAAAACAAATAGTTGGTTTTAAGATTATTCTTAAGAGAACAATGTAGTCTTTGACTTGTGATTTTTAGTCTGAAGATAAAAAAGACCTCCTCCAATAGGATATATAGTAGTTTACTATTATTGAGCTGTGGTTTATTATGTCCAGCTTCACCCTCTGAGTCAAACTGATCTCCCTGTAACCGTCCTATTGTAGAAAGCAGTGACTTGCAAGAATACCAAGATATTGAGGTATTTCACCTCATTTAAATGGCAACAGATATTGGAGATGATTAAGTCAATTTTGTTTCTCCTACCAGAAGAGAGAGGTAGCTCGATTGTCAAACACAAATTTCTCTTTAGGCAACTGGTCCTTTCTCCTCTGGTAATTTTCTGTTCCTTTTATCCTCTCTTGCCTGTGCCTCAAACTAGGGAGAAAAATTAAATTTATTTTAGAACCAAGAAGTCGTCATTCAATTTTCATCGGCCATTTCTTCTCACTTATTGTGCTATGCATAGCCTAAGAGTTCTATGATTCTTCCCAGTGATTGAATTCTTTCATATTGCATTAGTCATGCATTTTGTAAGTGATAATGTATTAGAATTAGATAATTTTTCTCCCCTGTTTGAAATCAAATTGGAATTTATGTATTAACTCTATTTAGCCCTCTGCTAGTCTTTTTCTCGAAAATTGACCACTGGGCTCTGGTTTTCAACCCTGGCTGCGCCTGATTATCTTCTATAAAAATACGGTGCTTGAATCCACTCTGTTACCTATACTAGACCAAAATCGCCAGAAGTTCTAAATTGGGAACTAAATAGTTATCTAGAGTATGGGGGGTCTGTAGCTCTATCGGGTTTTTTTGTTGTTGTTGTTGTTTTTGGACTTGAAAAAGAAGCTCATACATTTAAGATAGGAAAGAAATTACTTTGGGAGCATCAGTTTATGTGTCAGCAACTTAACAATAAGGAGCAATAATAGCAGCTCCAGTTACAGTATTTCATCAGTAAAATATATGAAATCACAATGAAGTAGTCTCTACCAATTTTTACCTGAAAATACCCATCACTTCATTGCGTTTTTGTTTCTAAAGAAAGAACATTTGATGTGAATTTTTTTCTGAAGATAAATATCCATATCTTTATACCACAACACGACAACTTTCTAAATAGTAGGGTGGCGATTTGTACATCTACAGATTTATATTGCAGATGTGCGTAAAATCCTTGCCTATTTAAATTTTTTTCATATGTATTTAGCTGCTAGGATCCTCATGGGTTTACACCTTTGCTTTTATTTTCATGTGAAAGTTTAAAATAATTTCTAGAATGACTAAATTTATCCTGTTTTCATATTGTCTGAATATATTCTGTATTAATGTGAAAATCATATTGGATTGGGGCTTCCACATACGAACTTTGGGGTGACACAATTCAGTTCATAGCAACATCTTGTAATAGCATATTATGTAGTTTGTCACAAACAAAAAAACCAAAGAATATTGTTTTACCTGTGCCAGGACTTGGTTTGATATCTGTGGCTCTTAGTTCTTCAGATATGTTACTGAGCAAGTCATCTTCTGATTCATCTGCAACAATGATTGTATAAACATGAGGAGATGTGTAATGGTTTGTTTTTTTATTCACTTCCAGAATTGTGTTTTAAACTCTATTATTTTCCCTTTTAGGGTGAACCGGATACTAAATACTGTGGTTGTTTTTGCTTTCCTGTAGTTTAGATTCACCACCCTTAAACATCTTTTACTCTTAGGTCTCTATCGCTATCTCGTATTTAGTCTCCATGTTAGGTCTTCCGACATATACCTGATGAAGTAAGTCCTCTTCAGCTGCATCTCCAGCAATTATTGTATGAACAATAATCATGCCACTGCTGTTGGGCTCCTTTATGTCTAGTCATTTTAATTTTAATTTTAATGGGGCAGATGGATAGTTCTCTAGAAGACCAGTATCTTTCTTATCTAACAGTGAAACATTTTAGGACTTCTCACCACCATTTTCCAATCCTAATTTTCTATCATTCTTCTCTTTTTACCCTAGACACAGACTCATACTCTGAGAATTAGGATTGCATCATTTAAGGCAGATATTGAGATCTAGAAACGTGGTCTTTAAGACCATCTTGTTGTCCAGTCCCCCATTTTACAACCAGGTAGAGGAGACACTTGGTTGGTTCACAGTTCCAGAGAGATGAGTTGTTGTAGAATTTGGATTCCCTGGCTCCTGGTCTAGAAGTCATCCAGTTTGTTTCATGCTGTCATATCTTTATGTGCATTATATCTCAATCCTCTGGGTTAAACTTATTTTAAGTAACTTTATGATGTGTCCCAGAAGAACTTACACTTCAAAGACATTCTCATGGGTTTTATATTTTTCTGAGTTATCAATGCCCTTTGCTCTACTTACAGTTTTATCACAATTGGTATGAAAGCTTGTTTAAACTTCTGTCTAGAGTTGCATTCTGCTTTATTAAAATTGGTGTGTTTTTAAACTTTACTTTTTTTTTTTTTTTTTTAGCTGAGCCATCCTGCCACCTGTTGGTAGCTCCGCGGCTGCTCAGCTCGGGCTGACTCGAACCACTGTTGCTCAGAGCTCAAACTCTTGAGCGAGCTCTTAACCAACTGAGCCACTCAGCCAGCCCTTTAAACTTTACTCTTGAGACCCAATTTTATTTCCCTCTTTTGTATAACTTTGTATTATGCTCTATGTTTGGAGGAGATCAAATATACATACATTAAATCTGTTTTTTATCATAGATTCTGCAGTTATCTTGTTGAAGAGCATTTAATGAAATGTACATAACAGACTATATTCATGTTATGGTACAGTGGACATTTTTATATGGCATAGCATATTAAGATTACTTTTGTTTGCCTTCCTACCTGTCTGGTCCTCTTCCGTTTTTTCATTGTCACATTCTGTGGCTTGTTGTTCATCTTGGAATTTGTGTTCTTGTGATTTTCCTGTTTCGCTGTGTCCCAGAATAGCTTCCAACTCAGTAAAAAATTTCATGCTCTTAGTCATGCCTAGGTCTTGAGCCATTCTTACAATCTTGTATTCATGTTTTAAGTTTTTGTATTTTGTTCTGCACTGCTTCCAGTCTCTCTCTATGCCATCTTTCTGAAGCTTCGCCGCAACTTGTTCAAATATCCTTTTATTTCTCACTGTTCCTTCTAGTTGTTGTTGTATGCTTTTATCAGACCAGATGCCTATCAGAGCCCTAACTTCTGGGACAGTCCAGTGTTTTCCTCCTTCATTTGCTACAGTTGGAATAAAAGCTGAATTAAGAGGGGGTTCCATTACTGATGTGGAGTTACCTGTATCAGGTGAGGAGAGAAAGAGATATCCATGGTTTGCTTCAATCACGTAAAATAAATAATTGGATGCAACATTGGTAAAGAAAGTACAATAATACCTTGGTTTGCGAGCATAATTCGTTCCAGAAACAAACTACTCGTATTGCAAGACATTGCTCGTTTACCACGTTAAAATGTATTAGAAATGTTTGCTCATCTTGCGGAACACTCGCAAACCAAGTTACTCGCAATACAAGGTTTTACTGTAATTTTCTTCATAGAAGATAGAAAAACAAATCATGGCTTGCTTAGGTTTTCTCTTAAACTAATGGGGAAATAAAGACCAGAACTTGAGTCTGTTCTTTATATGACAGTGACTGGCTTTATTTAATAAAGTTGTTTTTAATGAGTCACATTTTGAGTGTCTTTTTTCTCTTATCATTTCTCTTCCATTCCACTCCTTTCGTATGTGGAGTATATGTCAGTATACAGTGAAAGCCGAATATATAATTTTGTAATATTGTACAAAGCAATATAATTAAATAATGGCTCACAGAAGATAATTTTTGTTTTGTCATAAGACAGGTGGGAACTGTTTATCTCCTTTCCTCCTGTTTCTTTAATGACTTTCATTACCTACTTATCAGAATCTCCTGGGAGTTATTGAAAACTGCTACTCGGGTGCCACCCGACCCCTCATCCCCAGATTCTGATTCTAGTGTACAGTCAGGGTTGAGAACCAACACTATTCATAAGCGAAGGGCTCGGGTGAGCCCCATTAAAACAGTCTGCATTTTACTCCTTGTGAAAATAAAAGATGTCTCATTGGTCAAAAACCAAATGCCATCTTAAGTGAAATATTATGTTCTTTTAATGCAAAAAAATGTGTCCGAAACTTCATAGTGCCTTGTTCCTGTGCAGAATAGCTCTACTTATAAATCCTTTGATATAGCATAGTGCCTTTATGCTAGATTTCTAGCATAGTTTTGCAACTCATTTTATGGTAAAGACTTTACATGATATTGGTTATTTTAACAACCATATCATCTTGTGTTTTTCTTAAGAGTTCATGTTTAATAAAAAGGTAGTTTAAACCCGAGCATATATAATGTGAGTCATTAAAAAACACTTTTTAGCATTTTCCTGAGGTAGGGAGTTGTTCTTATTGGTGGTTTATTTAATGTCTTTGTTCTGAAATGCTTTTCAGTATTTTTCCTTATTTGGGTTAATTTTCAGTAAGAATTTAGAAGCAAAAAGGGGATTTATGTTGACTTTAATTGGGTAAATAAAATCATCGACCTCATTATGGATGTGAAATTATTTATTTTCAAATGTAAAATTTTATTTGTGTCTGAGGCTCTCCAGAATGCTAAGTGATGTGCTCATTAAATACTATGAGTAATTTTACCCATCAGATTTCTCACTATATTTGAAGAATAAAGTTGGAAATTTGAAGGGTTAATATTTCTTGGCTATTTACATTTTATTAAATCGTTTGCTTTAAAAAGGATTTTTTTTATTTATTTTTTTTAAGTATGTATTGGTAAAAAAGAGGGAAACAAATTAATCCAAAATGTTTCTACCAGGAAAAATCATCCATTTACCCATAAAGATTAGAAGCCAATCTTACTTTCCAATTTGAAATTGGGATCAGTTTCATTATATTTTTGGCCCATCATACTATACCTGGTTCCATTGGTTTGACATGAGAAACCAAAAGTAAAGGATTTCCTGAGATGTCTTCCTTATCTTTTTTGCCTGGAAAGAACAGAATTCCTTTTAGAAATAAATACTAAGGAAAATAAAGATTGGATTAAGGTAACGGATAATGCTAGTAGCTTGAGCTTAATTTGATCATATTCATGAAGGAATATAGATTTGTGATAGACACATTTTGTAACAAAGTGGTATTATATGGTTTAAATAGGTATGTATATAAAGAGAAATTAATTTCTTACATCCATTGACACGGTTTATTTTGAACTTCTACTACAACTGTTTGCTAATTTTGAAGTTTCTAGAAATGGTGTGGTTTTCAAAATAAATTACATTTTTTAAGGGGAGTGTTTTCTTTTTATTTGTTTTTTAGGTGCTTTAACATAGTAGGCACTTGATAAATGATGCATACTAACAATGTAAAAGGGAGGTCCTGCAATAAGATAATCAGAAAATCTTGTTTTATTGGCATGTATGGTCAGTTTTTTTAATATGTGTGTGTGTGTATATATGTACATTATATCTACAGAGGGTGCTAAAAAATATTCACATTTGAAGAGTTATCTTAAAATGTGTATACAGTATTTTGGCACTCCTGATATTTAGAATATATATATATATTCAAACAATATGGTGAATGTTTAAATAAAAAATTTTATTATAGTAAAAGACACATTGCCATTAATCTTCAAAATACTCTCCTGCGCTTCGAACACACCCCATTGTTCTTGCCACTTTCTGAATTAAAGATTTATTCATCTTATTTCATATCATTCCCATGTATATTTTCCAGGTTTTTTTTACTGAATAACAGAAATAGCATATTTTACAGTAGATCAAATGTTAGATGTGATTTTAATGGCATAAACATTCATTTAAAATCAGGATTCCCCGTTACATTTAGAAGCATTCCATTAAAGAATAAAAAGAGGAATGCTGTTTACCATCTTAAAGATTAGGGATTTCTATATTAAAATAGAAAAACAAAAAACAAGGGAAGCACCACTGTTTTCAAATGGCATAATTATATAAATTTAAAACTCTCAAAGTAAAAATTAAAAATTTTAAATCGGGTTTCATAATTATTTGAGGCTGAATCACAGTTTAGGGAATGTTTTGGATTTTGTTAGAATTGCAGAAGATACAGATATACCCAGATAATTGTGTGACCAGGTAATTTAACACCTGAGCTTGGTGATGAGAACAGGAAGGAAAGGTAGGATTTGCTATTCTGTTACGTATCTGGTTTAGGGCCTGGTTTTATGTCAGTAGAAAAGGGCCTGGAGCTGAACATACAGGTGGGAGTGAAAACAACTTCTCTCCCCAGATTCTTCAGGGGAATGTTTTTTTTTCTTAAGTTGATTATTTCTAGCTTGGATCCCAAAATTGTATGCAGGGGCCCCATACCCTGGAGATCTTAACCCTGGAGATCTTAAACTGAAACTCTTTTGTAAATCATTGGTCCTGATGCATTTCTGTAGGTAAGAGGAGGGAGATAGAATGGAGACTTGGTCACTGAAGGAATGTGATTCAGCAGCATTAGGCCAAAGGTATTCTAAGATTGAGGATGATTATAATTTTCAGAGCATGAAGCCTCTTATTAGAGTTTGTGTTTGGGTCCTTTGCCAAGACTTAGCCAGGATACCTGCTGCTTGGCAGAAGGGACCAGATCCTCTGTCCTTACCACTTGCATAAGGTTGATGTCAACAGTGGAAATGACACATTTTTTTTCTTCCCTTCTTCAGTTTACCATACACCAATAAAAATTCTGCTGGTCCCGCCATAAAAAAAAACAGAAGACATTATAAATGTATCAGACCTAGAGAAAGGAGGGCTTTCTGAGCCTTAGAAAAGAAACTCTTGAGCACATTAAAAACTTTTGAGCTCTAAGGTTACATGAAAATCGGCCAAAATTGTGAGGCAGAAGAGGCCAGGCAAATTTCTTAGACCCCAATTGACATGAACAGTCTGTTTGCAAAAGTAAATATATAGAAAAATGTTCCACATCACTAGTAGTTAAATAAGTGCAACGTATAAAGGTATTGATTGCACACACCATTATACACTGTTATGTGTTTACTTACTAAATGAATGTGCTCCATTTATTAAATTTGCAAAGTCTCCTTTCTCCAACCCCATCCTATAATCTTGCATGACAGAGTTCTATAAAAGGGACACTCTCTCTCTTAGTAAAGTACAGTTCTTTCGGAAAGCAGTTATTTTAGTAATCTGTTTCAAAGTAATCATCCCCTCCTTGTCTAGTAATTGAACTCTGATAGTTTGTCCTAAAGTAATAATGTTAAGTATGGACAAAAGGTATTGTTGTAGCATCATTTGTATAAGGAAGCAAAGACCTAAAACTTGAGTATATGCACTCCATTAAACATTATGGCACCATTAAGTAACATTTAATCCTAAATTATGATTAATTCTGGGTATAAAAGATTATTTTTAATAAACAAAATGTTAATGTGCTTGTAATTTGTAATCTAAAAAATTTAAAGAACAATAACCAGCAGCATTATGAAAGATGCATAGCAAGGACCTGAAAACTAGGAAGACCAGATGATGAAGTTCTGGGTGGTGGTAACGAGAACGAAGCAAGAGGAAAATTTATGAGGCATGTCAGTAGATTTTTTTAAGGACTTAGTGACTGACCAAAGATCAAAGATATCTCAAATGTTTCTATTTAAGTACCTAATTGGAAATACAGTGATACTAAGGTGGAAGCAATTTGTAGGAAGACCAATTTTGATGGGGGGACAGAGTTTGGTTTTAGAATTGAGGGTTTGAGATACCTTAAACACACAATGTTAAGTTGTAATTGTGGCCCTCTGCTTATGAGTGAAATTTAGGAATTTGGGGCGTTGAGGGTAGCTAAAAGGGCTAGAGGAAGATCCCATTGAGAAGTAGAGATATTAATTAGCACCACATCTTCATTAGGCCAACCTCTGGTTAGAATCAAGGCCTTTTAGAAGCTGAGTGATTTACTTATCATTAGTCAATATTGAAAGCATATAAATGGTGAATAACTAAATAAGATTTAATTGCTGTTTAATATGGTAATATTAAATTGCTGTTTAATATGGTAATAACTGCAAAGCTTTCTCAGGATTTTGTGTAGTATCTGAACTGTATAAGGTAGTGTAAGTGGGGTAGATTTTTGTTTTGTTTTGTTTTACCAAATGATTTAATACTAAGCTTTTAACAGGATGTTCAGATAACCTCAGTTAACCCAACTGTAATCTCTATCATTCTAACCCCCTTCTCATTTGGTACCTTTATTAGACCACTTACCGTTTTCTCTTGGTTGTTACATTTATTCATGGTTCCCTTTCTTCTGTGGTTACACATCACTGAGTGCATGTACCTCAGTGCTTTGTACACAGACAGTAGGTATTACAGAATTTGAATTGAATTGAACAACTCTGCTCATAAAAAGACCATCTGTAAGACTTTGGCTATAATGGAATGCCATGCCTTTGATTTCCCCGCATTGCTTAGTGATGCATTTGGCTTCTACAGACAATGAGCAACTTCTACTAAATTAGCTTTGGACCTCACAACACAGCCGGTCAAGAACCTTGTTTTAACATCTGAATCATTTAATCATAAATCATTTAATCTATCACATCCATTTTTGTTTTACTTACTGTTATATTGGAGCTATTCTTCCACACAGCTAATGAAGAAGTTATTTATCAGTTTTTAGTATTTTAGTGCTTTTATTTATAAACTTAGGAAAATGGGAGTGCTCTATCTTGTTGGAGATGTGGGAAAACAACAATTGAGCAATGTGTTTGATTAAAATATTTTCAGAACCCAACCTATTTCCCAAAAACATTAGACATACATAGTGTGCAGTTGACACTAGCAGTTAGTGTCATTTTAATGTGGGGTGGTTTTTTTTTCTGTATTTTACAGATTTTAAAAGTGGTGGTAGTTTTTAAATTACCTCTTTTTAAAATTAATTTTTACCTTGTGCAAAATAGCATAACAGGGCAGTTTTAATCAGCTTTGATATTGCAGGCTATATTTATCATATGGACTCAGAAGTCCTGTACTTGTACAGTTGGTTAGGTAAAAACAAAAGAAGGGTACTTTTTCTTTTTACCTTCGGAGGTCTCTGTGGCTGTACTTTGGCTCACCGTTGCCAGGCACCTGCCATTTGCATCTTCCTCTGTTAATTGTTTGCCAGGTTCATAATGCAGGATCGCATCCAAATCATGGAAGAACTTCATAGTTTTAGAACTGTCTCCAGAGCTGTGAGCATATTTAACTGTTCTGTATTCATACTTGAGGTTTTTGTACTTTGCCCGGCACTGTTTCCAATCTCTGTACACTCCTAGTGCTTGCAGCCTTTTAGCTATGTAAATAAATATTCCTTTATTTCTCAGTGTTCCATAAAGTTGTTTTCGTATATTTTTTTCTGCCCAGACACCTAGCAAAGCTTTAACCTCTTCCTCAGTCCAGTGCTTTCCTGCTCCACTCTCCATGTTGAAAGTGACCTGGAAATGATTCACTATTTCTAGCCAAGGTTTTGTTTCCTAGGAAACCAGATGGCTTGTTGTCAGTAAGCTCCAAAGAGCTGGAAGGATCTAGTTTAACTGGTTCAGGCTGCTTGAGGGAAGTAACTTGAAAAACTGCCAAATCAGCAGGCTTTGTGATTAAAGAAGCCTGGAGCTAAATGATTCCTAATATTCGTTTCAGCTTTAAGGAAAAATTACCCTTGAGACCAAAGGAAAAGAAAACCATTAAAAAAAAAATCTATTTTCTTACACAGTTTGGTCTGTTTTACTAAATGATTGTTGATTTTTAAAAATTGTTTTGGAAATGGTTGGCAGAGGTTCTCTGTGCCCTGAGGTTTATGGCTAATGTTAATTTTTTTCTTTCTGAAAGAATCTCTTAGTCTTCTAAAGAGCATCTTTAACTTAAAGATGACATCATGTTTATTTCACTAAATTAAGAAATCCTAAGCCGCAAATTAATCGGTCTCATAGGGTGTATAATATGCATATCTATTTTTAGCTTAGTACTTAATGCATTTATAATTTAGTAAAATCATTTTAATTTTAATTTTTTAGATATTTTACTTTGCAGGTACATTTAATGTTGTAGTTTTTCTTGCTTTTATAATGCCTAAATAATTACAATATGTAATTTTGAAAAAGATCCTTTTTACCAAATACATCAATGCATTATTAATGTATACATACATATGTGGTAGAGAACTGCTTTGTATTTCTACCCTGATATGTATTTTCTGGAACACAATTTTGTTATTAAGCATCTAGTATTTATAGCACTTGTTGAGACCATTAAAAATTGTTGAGCAATGAGAACCTTTATCATTTGAGTTTGTACTCCACAGTGGTGCAGATGGGTCCTTACCCTGTGTTTGTTACCCCACCTCCAGCCTAGCTTTTTGCTTTCCTTTCTGTACCATCACCTGAAAAATACTAATGCAGGAAATGAGATACAGAGTGCCTGATCAACTTATGGTTTTTAGAAGCAGCATTTTTTTTTCTGATAACAAAAGTGCATGCAATTCGTTGGAGAAAATTTTGAAAAGTGCAGTGAAGCAAAAAAATAAAATCAAAACTAATAAGTTTTGTCCATAATTCCAGTACCCACAACTAAGCATTTTACCTGCCATTTTATTTGGAGATTTTCATTTATATCTACATATTTATCTACATACTTAACCTTATCTAGAGGTCACATAGTACAGAAGCCAGAATCACAGGTTTTGGAGTCCAATTGTGTTCGAATCCTAGCTGTGCCACTGCTCTCTGTGTGACACTGGGCAAGTTATTTAACTTTTGTTTCTTTAGTGTCCTCAACTGTAAAGTGGAAATGATAATCATAGTACCCACTTTATAGGCTTGTTGTGGAAGCCTAATAAATTAGGTCGTTCATGTAAACGCTTAAGACAGTGCCTGGCATATTAGTTAGAACTCAGACAATATCATCTGCTGCTGTTGCTAATCACTGTCGATGAGTAGAAGTGGTACTAGTACTAATAGCATTTATTGTGTTGTCAGACTGAATTCATGGATTCTTTTGAGAAAAGTATGTTCCATAAAGTTCATTAACCTTATCAGTGGGGTAAATTTAAGTCAATACCTTTTTATATCCACAGGGGTCAGGAGAGTGCTGGTATTGTCACCAGTGATGGGAATCCAGTACCAACATTCAAAACACACAAGGTATATTTGAACATTAAAAAAAAAGTTGATTATAAAGATTACAATAGCCAGATGATAACTAGTATATGGGGGTGAGGGAAAGAAATTTGAATAAATAATTTGCATTTAGAAGTAATACTCTTTGGATCAACCATTTCTATTTGTCAAATTAGGATGCATTTCTTTCCCAGTGATAGTTGCTAGACTGGCTCAAAAAGATCATTTATTTAAATACTTTCACATGCTTTGAATTTTTAAAATGCAAATAATTTTATTATATTTAACAAATTTTATTGCTTTATACATCTGTTCTTCAATGTTTTAACGAAGAGTATTTCATAAAACAAACACTTCAACATTGTGAATATTAAATGCCACTGAATTTTCTTTAAAATAGCTAATTGTTATGTGAATTTTGCCTCATTTAAAAAAAATGCTTTACAGTTCTTACAATTAGGTTTGTCTTTTTTTTAACATTAGAATTCTGAAGCACAGAGAAATTAAGTGGAATACATTGTCTAATTTGGAATTGTCTGTGCAGAGGCTAATAAAGCCTTTACTGACCAGCCCACCAGTCTGTTTTTTCTAAAATTAGCTTTTACTTATACTTTGCAAGGGACTTGGTCTTATAAATCACGTCTTTACTGAAGACAATTTGAAGAAATTATATACTTCAAATCTTGGAATTGGACACACGAGATACGCCACTACAGGAAACTGTGAATTAGAAAATTGTCAGCCCTTTGTTGTTGAAACACTTCATGGGAAAATTGCTGTGGCACATAATGGTGAATTGGTGAATGCTGCTCGATTAAGGAAAAAGGTAAGTTTTTTTTAATGCTTTTTCATGATTGGGATAAACTAATGACAAGAAGTTATTGAGGATCTCGGTAAAGGATATTATCTAATTGTTGCCACCTGTTACCTAACTGTAAAGACAACTGCTTGTCTGGAGTCCTAAAATATCACCTCAGAGTCTGGTGTGGGGGGTGCTGAGTCTACATTCTAATATGATGCTAAGGTGATTCTGATGCACTGCTTTAGAGATTTGAAAAAAACTGATTTATGGTTGCTGTTACAAGCACAGAGAAATGAGGGCTTATGGGTTCTTGCTATCACTTTAACTTTGTCCCTATGTTATGCTTTTAAGCATAAGAAGAAAATGAAATATAAACTTGTAGATGACAAATATAAGAAAAAGTGATTTGGAAACAATTATACGAAACAGCCTGAGAAAAGGGCAAAAAGTTACATTCTTTTTTGTTCATAGCATGTTTTTTGGAGCTTTCTATATTCATGGTACCTATGCCCTCATCCATCATTTCATCCCTCCCCCCCTTTTTTTTTTTTACTATTTGGTATCTTTATATTCCTGATAGCTTCTTATTTATCCATTCTTGCCATTCATTCATTGATGCCAAGTTTCTTTATTTCATTAAATTCCAATCTTGATTTGGTAACATTAGAAATAAAAACCTAAAGTAGTATATACTAATAGGATGGTTACACACACACGCACACACAGACACACACCATTAACTCCTTAGCATTCTAGAACGAGGCATTTCACATGGGATAAATAGTTACACATGTTGAACAACAGTGAGTTGGTGGGTGGAAAATATCTAGAACCCATCCTGCGCTTCTGTACTCTTCCTTCTATTTTTGATTCTAGCTTTAATTTCTCAGAACTTTGTCCTTCTTGCCCTTTTCTTAGGTTCTTGTAGTCTAAATAACAATAATACATTTTTATGCCCCCAAATAAATTTTTTTTAATTCAGATAATCAGAAAAGTATAAATATGAAATAAAAATTAATTTAAAAAACTCACCCCTTAGAGATAACATTGTTGAGTGTACTGTAATGATTACGAGGTTCTGAGCAAGACTGACCACCAGAACAAGGGCGTCACCACTGATATGCAGAGGCTGAGTTTTTACAGACACTAGAGAACATTTTCAGTAGGCCGCTGAATGTGTAGAGGTGAAGTCAAGCATCGGGGTAAGAGGTTATATCTAGAAATAATGACCTAAGTATTGTTTGGCATTGAACCAATGTTTATTCCATTCTACACTTAATCATACAGTACAGTCGACTCCTTTTTTCCTGCTCTATCAGTGATAATCAGTAAGCCAACAAACCTGGCTTGAGAGTCCCTCTGTACTGTGCCACTCTTTTGGGAGTGCGTTCTATTTGTCGGGTGTCAAGGGTTGTAAAAGTTAGAACCACAATCCCAAATCCTTATGCCTTCTCAGCCCCCTCCCCCATCCCCATTGCAGGTCTACATTCCTTCAAATTTAGTTTCCAAAGGCTTTTTTTATACACCTCCGAAAGCACTTTTTTTTTTCTGCTTGAACACCTTCAGAGACTTCCCATTGCTTCCAGCAGTCGTTCTTCGTTATTAATATACACAGACCATTAGCAGAATGAAGGATTTTCATAACTGAGCAACCAAAATGCCTGATCTCTTTCTACTATGACAGGCTACTGAGTGGGGGGTGAGGTGGAGCTTCCTCTCTAATGATTATGACTACACTTTTCTGCCTTTAAAATAGCTTCTGCGTCATGGTATTGGTCTGTCAACAAGTTCTGATAGCGAAATGATTACCCAGTTGCTGGCATATACCCCTCCTCAGGAACGAGATGACACCCCAGACTGGGTAGCAAGGTAATTGTAAATTCAAGCTTGCAGCTCTAATAATGAGAGCTTTGCTTAGCATGTGCTTAAAAATGAAATTATTCATTTAATTATTTAATTAATTGCAGGATTAAAAACTTAATGAAGGAAGCACCCGCAGCGTACTCCCTACTTATAATGCACAGAGATGTTATTTATGCAGTACGAGATCCGTACGGAAATCGTCCTCTATGCATTGGTCGTCTTATTCCTGTATCTGATATAAATAATAAAGGTAATGAAATTGAGAAGGAATTGAATTTCATAGTGCTTTTCCAAGTCATTGTTCTGTTGGTATACCGTGAAATCATTAGGTATAGGAAGCTTATGAGTGAGAAGGGGCTAGGTAAAAAAAAAAAAAAAAAATCAATAATTTTTAAGTACATTTCCTTGAGTATTTCTGAGGATTAGCCACTCTTAATATGTTTAATGGACATTCCTATTTTGTCTTGTCTGAATTGCCTGTTCATATCCTTTGCCCAGCTTTTTTATTTGTGTAGTATGATTTCGTTAATTTTTTTTTTCGACTTATCAGATGTCTTATTTGAGCCAGGAAATCAAAATCTTTGAAGAAATCTTGGGATCATTTATTTTATCTTTCACTCAAGTCAAATGAGTATCCATGTGCTCTTAAAGTTATAGAAATGGATATTCTATGAGGGTTTTCTTTTTTTAATTATTTATTTAACTTCTATAAAAGTTTACTGAATTTGAAGGTTTTTAAATTATTATTATTTATCTATTTGGTGTTTAACCAAATGGGTGTTTAACCAATAGTCTTGGTTAAGTCTATTGGTGTTTAACCAATAGTCTTGAAGTAGGTAACCTCTTTTAAAATTTCTTGAATCCATTAACTGACTTGTCTCGTGTTTTACAGAGAAAAAATCTTCAGAAACCGAAGGATGGGTGGTGTCTTCAGAATCTTGTAGCTTTTTATCTATTGGTGCAAGGTAAGTTTTATCTCATTTAGCATATTAACTTTTTCCACATCGATAAAAGAATTTATTTTTACATGAAAGTTTTCTTTCTGATGTCTGCTAGAAGATATACTTATAAATGCATTTTCTTTTGTACATGGTGCTCAGTAGTTGCACTGACTTTAATGTTCCAGTAATACCGTCTAATTCTGAAACTGGCATCTTGCTTTCAAAATGCCGTGAGACTTATTTTAGATGAGACTTATTTTAGAAAGGAAGAATTCTTCTCAACAAAGAATAGTTATGATCAAAAAATTTGAGCCAGAGGGGCTGGCCAAGTGGCGCGATGGTTAAGAACTAGCTTGGGATGCCAGAGGGCCCCGGTTCGGATCCCACATGTGAGGACCAGTGACACTGCCCTCTACCAAAAAAAAAAAAAATTTAAGCCAGGATAAAAATGTTCTCTTTAGCCTTTATTCTTTAAAAAAATCAATAAAACTTAGGGCTTTTTTATTTTTTTAATTGTAAGTTAGAATTTAGGGGTAACAGATTTACAGAAATCACTGCTGGAGGAATAGTACTTGTTTATTTTTAAAAGCCATCTCTAGAATTGAACCATTTTTCCTTTATAAGGAAAGGGACTCTGTGTGTATTTTATAATAGATATTATTATCAGCCTTATGGACTCATTTATTCAAAGTCTTCTTTCTTTAACATTATTTCCCAAGATATTTCCGTGAAGTCTTGCCTGGAGAGATTGTGAAAATATCCAGACATAATGTCCAGACTCTTGCTAATATACCAAGGTCTGAAGGAAACCCAATGGCTTTTTGTATCTTTGAATATGTTTATTTTGCAAGACCAGATAGTATATTTGAAAGTAAGTAAAATATCTTTATTGGTATAAGTCTGTTATTTATCTCATTAAAACATGGCAGTTCTTGGCCCAAAGGCTTGCCTGGATCTTTGAAAGCACATAGCTACATGTTGTGAATATGGGACTGAGCCTGCAAGTCATAACATCACTATTTTTTCCTATTATCTGACTCTTGGATTTCGTTTTTCTTTTAGGAGTAAGGTTGATGATTTTTCAGATCTGTATTAAGGTCCATTTTTTAAAAATAGTGAATTCCCCAGTTGATGTATTTCCTCTTTAGTGTTTTTGTATGTCTTGCTTTTCTTTTTGTACTCAATCTATAGAATTCTAGCAAGATAGGTCCTTAGAGTACTGATATGCTGTTTTATGTTATACTAAGTAGAAATAATCTATTTCCTTTTCCAAACATTCCAGACCAAATGGTCTACACAGTAAGATACCGTTGTGGTCAGCAGCTAGCCATTGAAGCCCCTGTGGAAGCAGATTTGGTTAGCACTGTGCCGGAATCTGCAACACCCGCTGCTCTTGGTTACGCAGGAAAGGTATTTTTCCTAATGAACACCCAGTGAATTGTTCTTCTAGCAGTGGAATTAGAAATCCTTGTGTATAAAGAGGAACTCATTAGTTTATTGTAAGTAAAAAGGAAATGTTGGTTCATGTACAAGAGTTACTTACTTTCCAGCCTTTTCATTCCATGGCTCTGCTTAAGTGGAGTCAGCAAAAAGATTCACTTGAAAGCTAGAAAAATGATCTCCTTCATTTAAAAAAGATAACGTTATGAATGTATATAGAATTTAGTGGTACTGATTATTTAGTGGTGTTTATTATTAAAACCTACTTCTTGAAGTACCCTCACGAGCCACTGGAATATTTGTTCCTTATTGAGCATGAGTGATAGTGAAGCCATTTATGTTCATTTTGTATGATGTTTAGTACTGTGCTTAATTTCATTTTTCATAACCAGGTAGATTATAAAATTATAGTAATCCTGGGGTATAATACCCAACATTCACTATGTTGGGAAGTTTATAGTTTATTAATTTTTAAAATAAATAAAGTGCACACATTTTAGAGAAGTATTACTTTAAAAGATGGATAAATCACCTCCTGTCCTTCAAAAAGCATCTCCTTAGCCTATTGGTTTTAATTCCTTTCTTTCTGCTAATTTTTAAATCAGTGAATTATTCTGACAGTAATTTATTCTTTGTCATGTCTTGACATGCTCTTCCAAGATAGATAATATTTAAGAGAGAAGTATTACAAATTCTAGCAAAATGAATTGGTTTTCCCACCAAGTATATTACTTTCAATGATTTTCCTTTTTGCCTTTTTCCCCCTACAGTTTAAATAATGAAGGAAAATTGTAAACTGATCATGGAGAGTTCAGAATAACAACCATATTTAAAATTTTTATGTATATATTGTAATGGAAACATGACCTAGAGAAAATAGGAACCTAGAACTCTCGGTATATTGCTGCTCATTGTCCTTTTATTTCTTTTCTATCAGTGTGGGCTTCCATACGTGGAGGTGCTGTGTAAAAATCGATATGTAGGAAGAACCTTCATTCAGCCAAACATGAGGTTAAGACAACTTGGTGTTGCAAAAAAATTTGGAGTATTGTCGGACAACTTTAAAGACAAAAGAATTGTTCTTATAGATGATTCGATTGTGAGAGGTAATACTATCTCACCCATAATCAAATTGCTCAAAGAATCTGGTGCAAGAGAGGTAAGTCATATTAAAACATATCCTACAGCATTAATAATTAACATATGATACTGGCATAAAAATTTCAGTTCATGACAGTGAATGCAAATGGATAGTTCAGTATAATAAATTGACATTTTTCAAATCAAGTTGGTTCAGAAATAACTGGCAGTGTGGAAGACATGTAATACCTACTTACTACATACTAAATTAATCTTTAGTAGAGTAACAATCTCAATATAAAAGCTTTTAAAATTTCTTAAAAATTATTTTAAAAACTAACAAAACCCACAAAATAGAATACTTTTTAAAATTGTAGAGTATTGATTACTTTCTTTTTTTGAAGATGTAGAACCAATCCTAGTGTAATAAATTTGACACACTAGGTTTTCTTTTTAAATCTCTAAGCTTAGTCTAACTAAATATTTCAGTAATTCATAGTATAGATGTGAGATATCATTTACAATTAATAGTTGAGTGGATTTAAAAAATAAAATCTGAAAGTGGTATGGAAAGCAGTTTGACAGTATATTTAGAGAAAGCTTCAAAGATAATTATGATTATGGTTTTCCATCCTTTTTTATGACTGATTATGATTATGATAATCTCTTTGGAGTTCTATGATAATCACGTTATGAAAAAAAATGTATAAAGTAAATCCAACATCAACTACAGTAGTAAAAACGAATAGACAAAAACAAAAGAACTGGAAATGGCTTATGTATCCAGTAGGAAATCATTTAGTAAATTGATACATCAGTATGATGAAATATGATGCAGCCATTAAAAACTATAATGAAGACTGCATAATATGAGAAAACCTTTCTTGTTATAAGAATGAAAGTAAATGTGGACACTGATTATAGCCATGTAAATGTACCTGACAAAATGACAGACAATAATAATAGACAAAAATAGCTCTTTGTAATAGTAAGGTTTTTGTTATATCCTGGTAATTGATATTTTTCTTTTTAGAATGGTAAATTAAGAGATGGGTAAAGGTGTCATTCAGGTGTTACAAGAGAAAATAAAGGTGGTCCTAGGAATATAAAGTCATTAAATGATGAGAAATAGGAGACCAGAAGAAAGAAATGGCCTTGTTAATAAGTGACAAAAGGAAATGATGGGCAGCTCTGTAAAAAGAACCCTCCTTTACGGTTCAAAATTTTTGTTCAGGACACTTTGGAGTCTAGTGTAGGGCTGCTGAAGTAGGAATCTTTGGTAATGAATGAATTCTAAAAGTAGTTCTGACTGAACATTGGAGTCTGTATATATACAACATGATTTTCCAGGATTCTTGGATTCTTTTTCATCTGTTATTCAATGAAAGAAATTTTGTAGTTTGCTTTATTTCCCATATGTTGTTATTAAATATTCTGTAAAACAGTTTTATGTTACATTTGTCAGTGACAGAATTTTGCATAATTATTCCCACAATGAATGTTAAAATAATGAATGTGTGAAATGATTTCTTTTCAAGGTACACATTCGAGTAGCTTCACCACCAATTAGATATCCATGCTTCATGGGAATAAACATACCAACAAAAGAAGAGCTTATTGCCAATAAACCAGAATTTGAGCATCTTGCAGAATATCTAGGTAGGTATTAACATTTCTGTAAATTTTATCTTTATTCATTTATTAACAGAGAAAATCCAAAGTTTGTCCATCTTTACACTTTTCATAAAAAAGTGTTCGATATTTGTTAAAAGCAGATATTATATTGTGTATGTTAAGCAGATATTGAACACAGATATTCTGCACAGTGAGAGCGCCTGCTGAGTGTAGATGCCATAGTAAATTCTGTGTTGGAGAGCTAGGTCCTTTTAGGTCAGAGGAAAAGAAGGGAAGGGGTTTCCAGATAGAGGAAACTGTAAGCATATCAGTTAAAGCCTCCCAAAGGTTAGAGCCCAAGAAGAAGAAAAAAGCGATTTTACCACAGATTCTAATAGAATAATTTGGATGTGAGTACAGGTAAAAAAGTAAAAAGCTTATGTAGACTTATCTTTAATAATGAGGTCAGGAGACTTGGAGATCTAGGTTCTCCTAGATAAGCCATTTGCCTTTTAAATTCAGATGAGGTATAAACTATTTAAATATCACATAGGTGTTCAGCCAGTGTGCCTTGGTACCTCCCACTGGTTGTTTATGGCTGGTGTTTCTTTTGACTGGTCATGCCTGAGCCTTGCCAATTAAATATTTTGAATATCACCCAATTGATATAATACTGTGAACACTCACCTTTCCAGGAACATATCTATATTATCGTAATGCCATCACAAAAAGTCTACAATTAGGTGGTGTTTCCCTTATCTTAGAGAAGAAAAAATAAACTTAGGGAAAGTAAGTGACCTTGAGCATAAATTGGAACCCAGATCTTGACTTCAAAATATATTTTCTTAGTATGAAAATTACTCCTGAAGCCTTGTGAATCCATTCTAGACTTGAAGATTGCACTGCTATTTTAAATTATTGTGTATTATCCCTTAAATTCCAATTTAAAATTTAAAAGAATAATAAAGGCTCTGAATTTTATTGAGTAAGGGGTTTATTGAGTTTTTTAAAGAGAGGCTAAAGGAGAACTGGCCTAAGTTTTTCTGTTTGTTTCTATTCTCTGTGGAGGCAGTTCTTCCTTTCTGTAAGCAGTCTCATGGGTTTTCTGTTTTTTTTTCGTTTCCCTCTGTCCTTTTTTTTTTTCCTTCTTAGGAGCAAACAGTGTTGTGTATCTGTCAGTAGAAGGACTGATTTCATCTGTACAAGGGATAACATTTAAAAAACAGAAAGTGAAAAAGAACGATATTATGATTCAAGAAAATGGCACTGGCCTGGAATGCTTTGAAAAGACCGGTCATTGTACAGCTTGTCTCACTGGAAAATACCCTGTGGAACTGGATTGGTAGCTGGTAGAGGTAGATATAATGTTTCAAGATATAAAGTTCATCAAGAAGTTATTTATAGTGGTTAACATCTTATCCATTTCCTGTTAACTCAGTTGGTATAATGCCACATGGTTACCACATAGTTATGTTTACCGTTGTAAGTTTTGAGATTTTTTTCTGAAAGGGTACCAAAGTGCTATGCCTTCTTTAATAAACCTAGATAAATATTTTAGTGTTATCTAGGAACTTGGATGATCCTTTCAATTTTATTTAGTAGTTTAGTACTTCGAGGCTATCAGTTATGAGATCATCAACAATAATGCAAAGGATAGGTAAATTTTCTGTTTTAGAGGGGATTTCCAGGTACTATACTGTACCACAAATTCTTATAGAATTTAGTGGAGTGTTTCTTGAGAGTTACTGAAATTCCGTTATGGGATATTTTCATAATCGAACCTTGTTAATTGCATATAAGACAACAATATTGGTATTTTTTTTTTTATATATACAAGCATCGGCTAGTCTTTTTCACCTGGTTAGAGAAGGCAGGTGGTAAGTGGCATTTGCCAAGTCCATGCTTTAAAGAATTTGCAAGTGGTTAGACTAAGATGGTATGATGCAAACAGGACGGGTGAATTAAATGTAACATTTCATGCAAATCTTAAATCCATTATACCCCAAAGGTGTCAAGCCTCTAGAGTTCTGATTGTAGTTATGACCTTGGCTTCCCTAACTTTAGACAAATCTTTTTTTTTCAAATGCCTTTTTGTGCCTCACTTTTCTCCACCTGTGCAATGGGGTACTTTCATCACTAAAATAATTAATAGGAGTGTGAATAAGTGTCACACTTTGGGTGGTTAGAGCCATTGTTTCACCCCTCAATTTTAAGATAGTGCATGATTATTATGTTTTGGAACGTTGGCTATTAGTCTGCAATTGAAATTTCATTATGATGAAGGGAGACATACAGTTTAGCAGTGCTTTGCCACCTGCCTTTGAAATGCCCTAAGAATGATTGTAAAAATATGTCTGTGGAAAAAGTTTTCCTACATTTGACTAGAAAGTGTGATCCCATACTACTATAGTACCCTTGTTGTATAAAACCCAGCAAGTAAACTAGTATATTTGAAGTGAAAAATACATTTTTAGATTCTAATAAATCTTTAAACCTTAATTTGATTACTTACATGCTTTTTGAATGAAGTTCTTGATCACTTGCAAGCATATATACATCTACATGTATATACCTATCATTGCAATTAAATGGTCAAGTAGAAACACTGTAGGGGCCAATTTTATTAAAGGATCAAGGAGGCAACTACTTCCTTGGAATTAGCATACCCATCTATAATAATTCCAAACCTCACCTTATCACTTCTACTTAGTTTTATTGGGACTAATGAATTTGATGTTTTTGAAGTTTTCTCTTGTAACATCGGGATTTAAAATTTTAAGACAACTTGCCTCCAACTCCTGTTTATGTAAGATTTTTTTAAACAAAGTGTTTGTTTCTGTGTAATTAAGTTACCATAATTTGATGTATATAGTTTCCAAATACATTTGGAAATTTACTATTTATTAATAACTGAAATCTTTTGTCTTCATTTGGTATATAGTCTCACATGTTAAATAATGGTAGGCCAAGGTAAAATGCTGACAGTTCTTTAAGCCCACATACAGCCAGGCAGCAGTGTGTCAAGTAACCCTGTGGCAGTGATGCAAGCAATTGGCATTTAAATAAAGCCCTGGGATCCTTTGAGTGTATATAGCCTCTTGTCTTAAATGTATTTCTCACAGCAGCATGACAGAGGCAAGACTTATGTGTCAGTTTTGAACAGCCTTACTTAACATTTGATTTTTAAAAACAAGAGACTCAGGGAAAGTAAAACCAAAATTTCTTATTTGACTTTTGTGTTTTCCATAGTTTTTATTTTGTTTTTCATAGTTTTTACTTTGTTTTATTGAAATGTCTTTATAAAGGAATATGGCACTATGGCAGTTTGGTAATTCTACAAATTTCTTAATATTTCTCCATCATGGCCTTTTATTTCACAAGTTTCTGAAGCCTGAATTACAATTTTTTACCAATTTAATCTGAAATGTTGTTGAACTGCTTTCAACTTATAGAGTATTGTAAACTTCAAAGAAGATGAAAAGTGTGTTTTCACAGTATCTATATTGTGAACTAAACTAAGCCTACTTTTTTGTGACTTCATTGTGATGTGTTGGTGACAAATATATGTAATTCAGTATGTTTAAATGTGTGTGCTTGTTTTTTGTGTGTGATATTTAGTTAGTGCGTTACGGTGAACAGCACAGTGACAGTCATGTCCAGGCTCCATACTTGGCACCAGCTAATCAGATCTTATTTCTCTGATTCAGGCCTTTTAGGAAATAGGCCATCTTTTATGAACCAGGGAGAACTGCTGACTGAGTAGGAGGGACAAATAAGAGATTAGAAATGCAATGCTAAGTATGCACTATGATAGTGGCAATTTCTATGGAAACACTAGTGGGAATGGCGAGTGTCACAGAATAAGGAGGCTTGCTTACATTCCGTGCGTGCGTGAGTGTTGGGGGGAGTTCTGTTTTTTCAATCAGAGTAGCTAAATGAATAAACTGTGGTATATCCAGACAATGGAATAATATTTAGTCCTACAAGAAATGAGCTTTCAAGCCATGAAAAGATATGGAGGAAACTTCAATGTGCATTACTGTCGGGGTCCTGCCTCGGCATTTCAGTGAACAGTACCTGAAGTGGGGGGCGAGGTTTAAGGAAAAAAAGAG